CTTGTTCTTTGCCAATGCCTTAAGTGCTTCTTCCTGTAGGACCATTGACTCTTGATCATATGCTGCCTCTTGAAATGATTGAATATAGACCAGTTCTTTTTGATAGAGTGACTCTGTGTATACCTTCCATCTTCCTTTGATGCTTTCTGCATCATTTAATATTTTGCCCATTTTTGTTGTTGTTATGAAGGGCTGGTGAATCAACTCCAACTCATAGCGACCCTGTATAGGGTTTCCAAGGAGTGGTTGGTGAGCTTGAATCTCTGACCTTGTGATTCAAACCAACCTTGCAGTACAGCACGTTAAACCACAGTACCACACCAGGACTCCATTTTGCTCATAGAATCCTTCAATATTGTAAGTGTAGGCTTGATGGGTTTTTTTCTTTAGTTCTTTCAGCTTGAGAAATGTTGCATGCAATCTTCTATTTTTGTTTTCTAATTTCAGGTCTTTACACATTTTATTGTAATACTTTCTCTTCTACGGCTACCCGTTGAAATTTTCTCTTCAGTTCTTTACCTCCTCATTTCTTTGTTTTGCTTTAGCATCTTTATAGTGGAAAGCAAGTTTCAGAGTCTGGTGACATCAATTTTGGTCTTTTCCATCTTTCTTGTCTTCTCAATGATCTTTTATTTCTTCTTGTATGATGTTCTTTTTTTCTTATAAGTGTTTATTGTGACTTGAGAGAGAGTTTACTTGGGAGAACATTGATTTTGCACTCATCATTTCATTGCAATGATTATAATCTCCTCCGTGCATTCAACAGTATTTGATTCTTTTTCCTTTGTTTTTGTTTTATTTTGTTTTTTGTTGTTTCTTTGGATGTACACAAAAACACTGAGGAATATATAATCATTCAAACAACCCAAGGGCTCATTATGCAAGCCTGTCTCCTGGCTACCAGCACACAGCTTTTCTCTTTCTAAGAGTCTAGAATCTACAGCTGATCTGTGTCTCCATGTCCTCATCTCTGCTTCCATCTCTGGTGTTGTTGCTTCTCTGGATAGGGACCCATACACCTTTCATGCAATTCTCCCTTGTTGGTACTGGGGATTCTACTTTGCCCCGCACACCATGCAATATTTGTCCTTTTGTGACTGACTAATTTCACTCAGTATAATGTCCTCAAGGTTCATCCATATTATGTGGAGGATTGTAGCTTCGAGGTAGCATAATATTCCATTGTGTGTATGTACGAAAGTTTGTATATCCATTCTTCCATTGATGGGCACTTAGGCTGTCTCCATCTTTTTGCTATTGTGAATAGTACTGCTATGAACATTGGTGTGCATTTATCGACTCATGTTATGGCTTGTATTTCTTATGGCTATATACCAAGTAAAGGAATTTCTGGATCATAAGGCATTTCTGTTTCCAACTTTCTGAGGAAGTTGTTGTCGTTGTTAGGTGCCATTGAGTCGGTCCTGATCCATAGGGACCTTATGCACAGCAGAAGAAAACACTACCTGATCCTGGGCCATCCTCATTACTGTTGCCATGCTTGTCATCAGTGCTGCCACTTGGCCAGTCCAACTCTTTGGGGGTCTTCCTGAGGAAGTAGCATACTGTTTTTCAGAGTGGTTGGAACATTTTGCAATCGAACCAGCAATGTAGTAGGGTCCCAATCTCTACACATCCTTGACAGCATTTATTGTGTTCTGTGTTTTTGAATGTCGCTGTTATTTCTGGTGTGAGATCATTTCGCATTGTTGATTTGATTTGCGTTTTCCTAATAGCTAGTTTTATTTCCACTTAAAACCAAAAGGCCACCACTCGTCTGTCAGTTTGTCTACTGTGGTGGCTTGTGAGTTGCTGTGATTCTGAAAGCTATTCCACCAGCAGGATCACCCATGGTGGATAAGTTTCATATGAGCTTCTAGACGAAGACAGACTAGGAAGAAAGAGTGACAAACTATTTCCGAATAATTAGTCACTGAAAACCTTATGAACAGCAGAGAAACACTGTCAGATATAGTGCCGGAAAAGGAGCCCCTCAGGTTTGAAGGCACTCAAGATGTAACTGGGGAAGAGCGGCCTCCTCAAAGTAGAGCTGACCGTGATGATGCGAATGGAGTAAAGCCTATGGGAGAAAAGCCCACGGGACCTTCATTTGCTGATGGGGCACAACTTAAACTGAAGAGAAACAGCAGTAAATATCCATTGAAAATCGGAACATAGAATGTACGAAGTATGAATCTGGGAAAACTGGAAGATGTCAAAAATGAAATGGAATGCATAAACATCGATACCTTAGGCATTAGTGAGCTGAAATAGATTGGTATTGGCTATTTTGAATCTGATAACCACATGGTTTACTATGCCAGGAATGA